TATGTAATTTTTTGAAACTTTTTGGGGTTTTTTTAATCTTCATATATTATAGCTTATTAATCTTGAAATTATTGACCTGTAAGTAGTTCACATAGTATTAGGATAGGATATAATTATGATTATAATAAATTAAAATTTAAATAAAATAGTCAAATAGTCAAGGGTAATATTGACTATAGAAAGATTTTTTCGAACTCGTACTTTTAAAGGGAGTACGATTTAAATTATTGACATGTAAGTAGTTCACATAGGATTAGGATGAGATATAATTATGATGATAATAAATTAAAATTAAATAAAATATTCAAATAGTTAAGGGTAATATTGACCATAAATAGATTTTCCTGAACTCGTATTTTTACGGTGAGTGGATGAATGGTCAAAACACGACGGGTTCACCCTAAAATTGGTGTGTTTGGATTTAAGAACGTGTAGATCAAGTTTAATGGAGCGAATCACAAAAAAATAAAAAAAGAATGATGTGATTTTAGACCGTGTCCTTAGGTGGGAATCTAATGTGTCACATTAGGAAAACATTTCCCTATATGGGTAATGTTTTCCTAAGGTGATACCTTAGATTCCCACCTAAGGACACGGTGTAAAATCACATCATTCCCTTTTTTTTTTGCGATCCGCTCCGTTGAACTTGATCTACACGTTCTTAAACCCAAACACATCAATTTTGGGGTGAACCCGTCATGTGCAAAAAGTTCTATTCATTTGAAACCGTTAAAATTACGGTGAGTGGATGAATGGTCAAAACACGACGGGTTCACCCTAAAATTGGTGTGTTTGGATTTAAGAACGTGTAGATCAAGTTTAACGGAGCGAATCACAAAAAAAAAAGAATGATGTGATTTTAGACCGTGTCCTTAGGTGGGAATCTAATGTGTCACCTTAGGAAAACATTTCCCTATATGGGTAATGTTTTCCTAAGGTGATACCTTAGATTCTCACCTAAGGACGCGGTCTAAAATCACATCATTCCCTATTTTTTTTTGCGATCCGCTCCGTTGAACTTGATCTACACGTTCTTAAACCCAAACACATCAATTTTGGGGTGAACCCGTCATGTTTTGACCATTCGTTGAGCCGTGCAAAAAGTTCTATTCATTTGAAACTGTTAAAATTACGGTGAGTGGATGAATGGTCAAAACACGACGGGTTCACCCTAAAATTGGTGTGTTTGGATTTAAGAACGTGTAGATCAAGTTTAACGGAGCGAATCACAAAAAAAATAAAAAAGAATGATGTGATTTTAGACCGTGTCCTTAGGTGGGAATCTAATGTGTCACCTTAGGAAAACATTTCCATATATGGGTAATGTTTTCCTAAGGTGATACCTTAGATTCCCGCCTAAGGACGCGTTCTAAAATCACATCATTCCCTAATTTTTTTTTGCGATCCGCTCCGTTGAACTTGATCTACACGTTCTTAAACCCAAACACATCAATTTTGGGGTGAATCCGTCATGTTTTGACCCTTCGTTGAGCCGTGCAAAAAGTTCTATTCATTTGAAACCGTTAAAATTACGGTGAGTGGATGAATGGTCAAAACACGACGGGTTCACCCTAAAATTGGTGTGTTTGGATTTAAGAACGTGTAGATCAAGTTTAACGGAGCGAATCACAAAAAAATAAAAAAAGAATAATTTGATTTTAGACCGTGTCCTTAGGTGAGAATCTAATGTGTCACCTTAGGAAAACATTTCCCTATATGGGTAATGTTTTTCCTAAGGTGATACCTTAGATTCCCACCTAAGTACGCGGTCTAAAATCACATCATTCCCTTTTTTTTTTTGCGATCTGCTCCGTTGAACTTGATCTACACGTTTTTAAACCCAAACACTTAGACCGTGTCCTTAGGTGGTAATCTAATGTGTCACCTTAGGAAAACATTTATATATATTTTTTTTTTTTGCGATCTGCTCCGTTGAACTTGATCTACACGTTTTTAAACCCAAACACTTAGACCGTGTCCTTAGGTGGTAATCTAATGTGTCACCTTAGGAAAACATTTATATATAATTATAAATTGATTTACAGTACCTCATAGTAACAAATACCTCACACTTCAAAGTATTATCTTGAGTGAACCCTTTAAATAAAACTCCATTATTACACAAAAAGTTTATATTGACCTTTAATGTGCATAGTTAATTTGAGAGCAATTAAGTGCAAAGGTACACATTTAAAAAAGCGACGTATACAAGAAGTACTAAAACAATTGATCCCAAAATCTTAGCACAAATGGTAAATGATCCTTAGAGTTACTCAATTTAAACAACTTTATACCAGATCTTCATTTCAAAGATAAATAGGACGAGTTAATTTCTGACACACCCTCTGTACAGTATTTGTTGGGCACTTATTATTTCTAATTTTTTTATTAGCAATTACATTCTCTAATGTCAAACATAGTCTCTCTTTGTTATGTGTTCTTGTTTAGTGTCCAACATTTTTAAGAGAATTGCAGATCTCGTTGCAAACACATTGAAATATCAGGAGATCTGTGTGTAATGTATCAATGTCTTGTGAAATCCACATAATGATAATGGGGATCTATAACTCATATATCTATAATTAACTATAAAAGGAAAAAATAAAGTGGAATTGCATGCACAAGAAATTAAGGAGTGGAAAAAGTGGACACCAAGATTCTCACATCCAAGTGCAGATGTGAAGTTGGTGGTGGGTGACAGAAAGAGAAGTGAGCACGCATAGCTTCAAGCATGAACTGTATGCAAGAAAACCATGAGTGCTCACTCTCTTCTGTCAACCTCCATTAAGCCCATCTCCTCTGAAATTAACCCTTACTCTCCCTTATGCATAATGTTTCTAGCCTCTCTCTATATCTCCAAGCACTGAAGATGAGTAGTTGTCATGAAAATGAGAAGGCCTAAATAGGGTTTTATAGGAGGTGGGAGATCACTACATATGTGGTTAATGCTGTGTGATGGGATGGAATAACTGGCTAGTGGCTCTCCATTGGTCACGTCTCAAATCAAATAAAAAATTTTAACCTCCTTGTTGGACATTTCAATGCACCTCGTAATTCTAAATCCTATTCCCTCCACTGCCCACCTTCTCTCTAACCCAATCATCTTGCACTTCCCTCTCTATCCTGAAAAACTATGTTGATTGATTACATACTCTTTTCTTGATAACCATAATAAGAATCTTCATCACTATAGTCATGATTAAATCTCAATCTCTCTCTCTCTCTCTCTCTATATATATATATAGAGAAATATAAAGAACCTTGGTACCAAGTTTTTTCATTGAACTTGGTAGTGAGGTGATCAAATCTGACCCCTACATCACATCTCGAAGATGAAGCTTTTTTTTTGGAGTAAGTGAATAGTGATTGAGGCTCTCTCTTCAAGGCGTGATGTAGGGACTAGATCTTGCCATCTCATTACCAAGTTCAATAGAGAAACTTGGTACCAATGTTCTCTATATTTCTCATATATATATATAGAGAAATCTTCGGCTGCGAACAAGTTTTCGCACAGTAACGTGCGAAATTCACTTTGGTCCGTTGGATGTAAATGTAACGTTCCCCTCCGTTGGATGTAAATGCATCGTTCCCCAGGCGGTTTGCTTTCCCAAAACCCCCCCTCCGTGCTCTCTTCTCCCTCTCTCTCTAACAATCGGATTCACGCTCATCTCTCTCTCCGTCGAGCTCCTCTCTCTCTCCGTCGAAGACCCCCGCGTCGCCGTCGAAGAGACCGTCGACCGACAACTCCTCCTCCGCCGTGGTCCTCCTTCAGCCGTCGATCTCGACCTCAACCTCCTACAGTCATCTCTCTCTCCGTCGAGCTCCTCTCTCTCTCCGTCGAAGACCCCCGCGTCGCCGTCGAAGAGACCGTCGACCGACAACTCCTCCTCCGCCGTGGTCCTCCTTCAGCCGTCGATCTCGACCTCAACCTCCTACAGCCGAAGATCTCTCCGTCGAGCTCCTCTCTCTCTCCGTCGAAGACCCCTGCATCGCCGTCGAAGAGACCGTCGACCGACGTCTCTCAGGTACCACCTCTTTCCATTTTCCTCTTTTTTTAAGGTTTTCATGCCTTCAATTTATTTTTCAGATCCTTATCCTCTAATTAACTTATTTGAAAATGTAGAGCTTAATGTAATATTATATCAAAGATGAATCAGTTCCATCTGAATTAGAATCAAGTGAATTTGATGTGTTTTTATAAAGCTATTGTGATCCCTCCATGATTAGAAGAACTAGTAGTTGTAGAGATCTTCGACATCTACCTGTTATTGGCTGCGAACAGTTCTCGTCTCAGTGATTTCAGATACTAATTCTCTGTTAGGTGTGAGAAATTTGTGATGGGGTACATGAAAAAGAAGATTTTGTAAGACATAGGCAGTGACAAAAAATGTTTTTATGTGATGGTGTCGATTTGCAAACTTACAAGAATTTTATTATTAAATGTAATTATTTGCACCCATTACATAAATCAAATGGGTTGGAGCTAAAAACATTCTGACTCCAGATACTTATAAAACTGATGTGGAATTGTATTTTGGAACTTGAAAGCAAATCTAAAAACATTCTGACTCCAGATACTTATAAAACTGATGTGGAATTGTATTTTGGAACTTGAAAGCAAATGACATTTGATTTATGCTCCAGATACTTATAAAACTGATGTGGAATTGTATTTTGGAACTTGAAAGCAAATGACATTTGATTTATTCATTTAGCCTGCCCTCGGTCAATTGTTTGATCATGAAGTAATGTAGATTCCCAATATTAGCATTCATGTTCAGTTTATTAGGTTCAACCAATAACAACATTTGGGCTTGCTCCAAAATTTCAATGGAAATTGGTATAGATGGGCAAAATAATACTGAAACCTCCATCTTATTTAATTTGAAATGTAAAAGCTTGGCCTTGTCATGTATTTGTTTTAATTAGTTTGGTGATGGCGGTCGTGTTGATCGAGTATCTGTTTATGCTTTGATCTTTTTAACTCTCTGTATCTGTAGTTGTGGATAATGGAGTCATCTTCAAGCACTCATCGTGGATTGATGTGCTATTGTGGAAGGAGGGCTATACTCTCCAGATCTGGAACTAAGACGAACCCTGGTCGATTGTTTTTAGGATGTGCTAATTGGAAAGTGAATAATTGTGGATTCTTCAAATGGGTGTCTGATGAAGAGGAGTTTGAAGGTTCAAAGGCAGGGCTTGTTCAGACGAAGCAGTCGAGCGTGATGTCGCAAGTTTCAAGTGCCGTGTCAATTGGAGAAATGCGGGAAAGGAGAAAGATTGAAATTGATATTATGGATTTGTTGAAGCTTGCTGTATTTGTTCTTTTAATTGGTATTTTTCTTGGATTTGTATGTGGTATTTTTATTGGATTTGTGCTAAGTAGGGTGAACTAATGTATTATTGGATGAGTAAGATTTGTATTTGAGTAATACTTGCCTGTTGCCTGTTGTGATTATCCAAGGTTTACTTCATGGCCCTTTAGTGAATACTTGCATATAGTAACATGTCGGAGGAGGTTCAGGATGCTATTTCTAATGTATTATGAAGTTTGTTTGAGCATCTTGTGATTGTTTGAGCATCAATGCAACATATGCAACCTAAACAGATCTTTCCCATTCATAGACACTATCACAAAACAGGCATCTTGAGATTGTTTGAGCATCAATGCCTGTTGTCTGACGAACCCCGTTTAAGCATATTGTATCAATAATTCAGTTCATGGACACTATCACAAAGCATCCAAAACATTCCAATTGATATCAGATATAGAATTCCTACAGGAAAAGTGGTTTCATTAATTGGACAGAAAATGAACAGAAAACAAACGAGTACCTTTGAGACAAATTCTCGTTATGATTCAAGAGATTTCAACAGCATTGTGTGTAAAAATGAAGGTTGAGACAACTAGACCTGTTTAATCTCAGCGTCTATGAACCTATTTCAATAGGAAGTGTTCAACATCACTCATGTTAAGACAACTAGACCTGTTTAATCTCAGCGACACGCCAAGCACAAATCGCTGAAACAACCGACATATGACGTTACAAATGATTAAAGATACAAAAACACAAAGCTGTAATCCACCTAACGGTCCAGCAAAAACACAGAGCTGTAATCTCAGCATACACATATTAGTTCACTATCTGCAAGCAAAGACCTTTGACCTCTTTTGATAAGTATGTAATCCACCTAACGGTCCAGCCCCTGTAAGCCAAAAAGACAGAGCTGTAAACAAAGTGCTGCTTATTTTGGAACAACATAAACAATAAGCTTTTCAAATTAGATTATATAGTGACATAGTTGAGACTTGACATAGTAAGCAAAAAAGAAATTAAAAGGCGTGTAGGATTTCTGTGTGTAATGAGATTAAAAATAAATCAACTAAAACTCCACATTATTATAAACGTTTAGAGCCATGACAACAACAGAAACAATACTTCCCTAGCTACATTTTACCAGCATATCAGAACTCTTAACGCTGTGAAATCTAATGACTAACAAGAGAAAAGAGCCAAGGTAATAACAGCAATCTGCTGAAAGCCAAGCATGCATCAAATTAAACAAACCAAGGAACGCAAGGTGGACGACCTGTTTAATTTCATAGATTTGCTCTGCCAACCTTGATCAAACTTCACTCAATAGTGAGAACTCCATCTGTATTAAAAAAATTAAAAATCAAAGTGCTTCATCACATTAAAAAAATCACATTATATAAAAAAATGGCAATGTACAAGTTATTACGTATGTATTAACCATTACCTTGCTCTGCCAAAAGTCATTCCTATTTTTGGTTTTAAGTGCTCATCAACAATTGGCACAACTAAGTTATCCAACTGAGAGATTTGTTCATCAACAACATGGGAGCAACCATCTTCAGTTTCCATTGGATTGATGTAAATAAGCCTATAGAAACAAAAATACATTTATATTCAGGATTCTACAACATCAATATGCATAATTTATATTTAGAAAAAAAATACATATATTGAGTCTATCAAATTTTCAGCCCCCATTTATATTTAGAAAAAAAATACATATATTTAGAAAATTTTGAGAGTTTCTTCTCTGTTCGTTCAATCTCTACATTTTCAAATAAGTTAATTAGAGGATAAGGATCTGAAAAATAAATTGAAGGCATGAAAACCTTAAAAAAAAGAGGAAAATGGAAAGAGGTGGTACCTGAGAGACGTCGGTCGACGGTCTCTTCGACGGCGACGCGGGGGTCTTCGACGAAGAGAGAGAGAGGAGCTCGACGGAGAGATCTTCGGCTGTAGGAGGTTGAGGTCGAGATCGACGGCTGAAGGAGGACCACGGCGGAGGAGGAGTTGTCGGTCGACGGTCTCTTCGACGGCGACGCGGGGGTCTTCGACGGAGAGAGAGAGGAGCTCGACGGAGAGAGAGATGAGCGTGAATCCGATTGTTAGAGAGAGAGGGAGAAGAGAGCACGGAGGGGGGGTTTTGGGAAAGCAAACCGCCTGGGGAACGATGCATTTACATCCAACGGAGGGGAACGTTACATTTACATCCAACGGACCAAAGTGAATTTCGCACGTTACTGTGCGAAAACTTGTTCGCAGCCGAAGATTTCTCTATATATATATATGAGAAATATAGAGAACATTGGTACCAAGTTTCTCTATTGAACTTGGTAATGAGATGGCAAGATCTAGTCCCTACATCACGCCTTGAAGAGAGAGCCTCAATCACTATTCACTTACTCCAAAAAAAAAGCTTCATCTTCGAGATGTGATGTAGGGGTCAGATTTGATCACCTCACTACCAAGTTCAATGAAAAAACTTGGTACCAAGGTTCTTTATATTTCTCTATATATATATATAGAGAGAGAGAGAGAGAGAGATTGAGATTTAATCATGACTATAGTGATGAAGATTCTTATTATGGTTATCAAGAAAAGAGTATGTCTACTAGTCACATCGATGTGAGGCTCACATGCCATACACTTGCAGCGCAGGAATTTTCCTACGCTGCCAGCTCACCTCCCGTTTTCTCTCTCTCTTTATATATATATATAAACTTCTCCGGATAAGTGGGCCCCCTTTGATTACCCTTTTACCAACCCACCAGCCTGATAGTTGCAGTACAGGTAACGCGACGTGTAACTAAGGCAAATGGGCCCACCAAGTTTGTAGTATAAGGGAACTGAGGCCCATTAAATCATATTATTACAACCCTCTGATTTAAAATTAACGGCCGAGATATTTTCCCAATTGGCTTTCGCCATTGTACTACGAGCAAGGAGCTGTACGATCAAAGGGCAACTTATCATTTACGTAAAGACGACGCGCTTGGGCGCACGATAGCCTCTAGAATCTTCCATTAAAAATACCAAACTCCAAAGATTTTCTCTATTTAAATCCTTAGATTTAATTTGAGATTTCAATTTCTGATTGCGTGGAACTCGATTTTGGGTTCCTATTCGCGATGGCCGAGGTAATCTTCGACAAAACGATTCTCCTTGGCTTTTGTATGAATGGAAATCCTAATTCTTATACGGCTGGTTGAATTTTTTGTCAATTATTTTATTATTAAAAAAAGGCGTTTTTCTATTAATTGCTGTAACTTTGATTTACTTTGAAACAGGAAAATGAGAAAGTGCTAATATTGAGTTATTGATTGATGTGATTCTTGCATCTTTTCTTATATTATATTGTCATATAGAAAGATATTGGTTATGGAGACGGTTGACAGGGAGATTACTGTTGATGGTAGGCAAGAGATTTTGCTAGTTATATAGGTTAATCAAAGGGGTAGGATCATGATGCTAGAGTTCTATAATCCTTATCTTTGTTCGCTTAAAAGAGGATCCTCTACTAATTATTAATTTGAGCTCAAGAAATTGCGTGAAACCAGAGAATAGTTTAAGTTTCAAAGGCTTTGATTTGAATAATGGAAATGATTTATACTTCAATATCATACTGTTTGTTATACAAACTGATACTATTAAAGGTATAGGCCTAGATGGTTAGGAGAGTTCGTAGTTGGTTTTAACCGAAGCCTCATAGAAGAGAGGGCTAGAAATTATATCGTACTTGTGATGCCCTCACTCATTTAGTCCCAAATCGGGAATTAACAAAAATATTAATGTGTCTAAATAGTAATACTTGGGAAACACATGTAATATTGTCTAGTCATTTTTGGTGGTAGTTCGAGTCAAACAACGTGTTGCACTTAGTGAATCCTATGACTTACATCGCATCAAAGGGCTCGTGGGTCCAGGTCTTGACAGTGCTGTTTTACCTTTTTGTTTTTTGGAAATGGGTTGTTCCTTAATTGCGTTGTAGTTCAATAATGTAAAGTAAGATAAGCCAAACAGGTTTCAAGAACACGTGAGAATAGGCTCATAGAAGATAGGGCTAGAAATTATATCGTTCTATTTTACCTTATGCTCTTTAGAATTGCGTTGTTCAAGCACTGTTGTAAATAGCAGCCGATAGCGG